CCACCTCATGAAATGCCCACATACACCCATGAGGATGATATCAATCATTTCTATGCTGATGGTGTTAACAAACCTGTCCAGTGTTATATGGCAGAAATGCCTGGTTTTGAAAACAGGGCAATACACAATACCTTTTCTGTAAACACAACCGGTCAGTCCCAAATAACAAGTTCTCACACATCAGGGACAATGTTATCTACGGAAAGTGACGTAGCTTCCCTCTCTGAAAATCAAAGTACATCTTTCCTTCAAAATCAGATGGATTCCATCTCGGAAGATCCAGGGGACGCCAACCATTGTAAGATTAAAACTTTAAGGGGTTTGCGGTCAAAAATTCAACGAAAAAGAACAAACTCCTATGTTTTTAGACACCAGCCCTACAAGAATGATCGGCACTTACTTCCAAAAAATCTTCCAGAATTTGAAAATTAAAAGGGAGAAACTCTTTTAATTGTGCTTTAAAAAAAATGAATTTTTACATTTCAACCATCATTACATTTTAACAAGCCCTCTTTTTTTAACATAAAATTTGTGTCATATGGTGGAAGAATTGCTAAAAGATACTGTATTAAATTTCTTTTTAAAATGTAACATTGCGTATATTTTTGCAAAGAGAAAAAGTATTTAATCTATAATTGTGATCTTGAGTGACAATTAGTTTTCCTTAAACTTCCTTGAAATAGTGTTAGAGATATGTTTTACTTTAAACATTTATAAGCTTATAAGAGCAAAGAGAGGGAATGAGTTATAAATATAGTTTTGGTAATAGTCACTTTCTAACTATTTTAAAGGGAGTCCACTGAGGTTTTTTGACATGGTGGAACTAAAAAAACTTTTTGGAGATGGATGTTCCATTTAATTAAGGTCTAGACCAAAAACTCTTCTTAGAAAGTTCAGATTGTTTTCTCACTCCTTTTTTCCAGAATAATTATTCTTAATTGTGAAAAATTAGCCCAAATTGTGTTTTCACTCAAATCCGGCTAAGAATGGCACAAAAATATGATTTTCATTTTGTTTTTGAGTATATTTCCTAATGTTTTATATATTTTTATGTTTTAAGTGCTCCAGCTGATCTATGTAAGAAATTAAATTTTTATGTCTCTAGGTGTCAGGTTCTCAGTGGAGTTCCTTTAAGATAGTCATACTGTAACACTTTCCTGCCAAAAATTTTAACATTGGCCCATATCATAGCAAATGGGTAATATCCAAAACGTTATTTTTTTAAAAATGTTGGGTATTAGATTATTTACAATCACTCATTCCTTATTGATATGTACTATTAACTCAGCTTATGAATGATTAAGATTTATTGAATACTGTAAATTGTAAAAAATGACATTCCGGAAAAGACCGACTTATTACAACATTGGCCAATGTAAGAAATTTGTTGGCTGGAAAGCATTACAGTAAGACTATCTAAACATCAACACATATAACATATTTCAAATGAAATTGTATCATTGTTATTATAATATCTATGATTGTTTTCATATGGATATATATTGTATATTTTTAGTATGACTGTTTTCATATGGATATATATTGTATATTTTTGGTATGACTGTTTTCATATGGATATATATTGTATATTTTTGGTCTGATTGTTTTCATATGGATATATATTGTATATTTTTGGTATGACTGTTTTCTTATGGATATATATTGTATATTTTTGGTGTGATTGTTTTCATATGGATATATACTGTATATTTTTGGTCTGATTGTTTTCATATGGATATATATTGTATATTTTTGGTGTGATTGTTTTCATATGGATATATATTGTATATTTTTGGTGTGACAAGTTTCATTGTCAGTTGTCAGAGAGTACACAGATCATGATCATATAAGGACAGTGTTGTTAGCTCATGTCAGCATGATGTGATATAAAGCTGAGATTTTATCCCACTAAATGAGCCCCGCCATGACAAAACCAACATAATGCGTTTACGACCAGCATGGATCCAGACCAGTCTGTGCTCCGCGCAGTCTGATCAGAATTCATGCTTTTCGCTATCGGTTTCTCTACTTGTTATAGAGTTTGTAAGCGAACAGCATGGATCCTGATCAGACTGCGCGGATGTGTAGGCTGGTCTGGATTCATGCTGGCCGCAAACCCATTATGTTGGTTTTGTCATGACACGGCTCAAATATCTTATTTGGACTTGCCAATCTTGCAATCTGGACAAAACCATTCATCAGTTTTAGTGACAGTTTTAAAATATATAGTTATTGACTTAATAGTACAGACAATGATCAGAATCTGTTACTGCCAGCAGCCAATGAGTTAAGATGGGCTTTTCTGTGTGCCCACAATTTCTTTAAAAACGACATTGCACTGCAAATAAAATATTCTTGTATTTATATCCCAAGAATTGAATTGTATGAAACATGTGTATAATAAAACTTTTATTAAAGGGAGGTAATAAATATTTTTTTAAATTTAAATTAAGTTTATATATATTTGTTCATATTTTTGGTTTGTTTTGCCTTGCATTTCGTTTCAGGTAAGGTTTAGCATGAGATGACACATTCCTATATTCATTAATAACTATGAACTTTATAATACACAATTGTGGTGAATTTTTATTATGCATGTATATTCACATGAAGCCATATTTGATATTACCATTGCATTTATAAAGAACAAATTACTTGAAAAAATTGTTTATGTTTTGGGCTTGTGTCCAATACATGAAGCAATAAGGATATGGTATTGTATTGTAGTGGTATTGCAATGCTTGGTATTGTATTATACATGTATTTCATTGAATTGTATTGCATTGCATTAGAATGCATTGGTATTGTATAATTCATTGGTAATGTATTGTATTGCATTGCATTGGTATTGTATTATATTTGCATTGTATAATTGCATTGGTATTGTTACATTGAACTGGTATTGTAAAATGTATTGGTATTGAATTATATTGTACTTGTACAATGTCTATTATATAAGATGTCTACCTTACTCTAGAGAAAAATCTTATGTATTGTCACTGTCAAAGTACCATTGTTATTTACCAGTTCTGAGTAAGAAATTTCTTTCTAACTACTGTTTATTTATTTTACGTAAATTCTTTGCATGTTTACAACTTGTCTTTGAGTAGTTTTATAGTTTAATTTCAGCATTTTTTTAATGAAAAATATAACGAAAAGCATCAACAAATAGAACAGTTTTAACCCTTAAACTGCTGGCCGCTTTGACATCAGCGTAGTGCTAGGTCAGCTTGTACAACCATGCAGACTGACCTGGCTCTATATTACACTGGTCTCAACAGTTCTGGGTCATCAACAATTCAGACTGTTTATTATTTGTGAATGATTCAAATACTAATTATATCTTGGTGCGGAAGAAATATTTGTTAAACAATTTGAGCAATTTATTTTTGATTAACTATCAAAAAAAAAAAACCCACACTTTTTTTTTCTGTTACTCACCCAAAACTGTAAAGTTCACTCTATTACACTTTAACATTTACATCACTATTGTTGTGTTGGTTAAATCATGTTTATTCATTATTTTTCTCATGTGTTAAATCATGATTTTCATATTTCAATTCTGTAATCAACATTAAAACATTGTAAATATGTTATATTCTTCTTCATTATATTTGCAGTTCAAACTCAGGACTTTAAAAGTCTTGACATAAACTCTGGTGACAATATCCCCATTGCAAAAACTGGTAGCAATTCCTATTTATATAGATTATAGTTCTTTCCAGTGTTAACAGTTTTATATGCAAATTGGCTGACTGGTTATCCAATATCTAGGATCATATTATATTGACTGGTAGACCCTAAATTTGCACAAAAGAACATAATCATGTGATAATGATTATGAGTAATTGACCAAGCAATGAGTAGAACAGGAATGACTTAATTTTCACTGCTTAAAAACCGGCAAGGCTCATATCAAAGGCTGATGGGTCTAGCACTGACTTGTACACAAAATATACACGTACAATAATTATTGTACCCCTTTATGTGCTTTAAAATCAGCTGTAAGAGCTTAACATGAAAACTTGTATTCATATGAAATTCCACACATGTTAATAATACAATAACCATGCCCCATAACACTAGAATTGATTTGTTTTTGAATTATAAACCTTTGTAAACTTAGAATGAATCAGCATGACTATCAACTATAATGTCCAATCTCATTAATTCAGATGATAAAGATCAATTATGTCCTAGATATGTTTTTTATTTTTAGCTCGACTATTCAAAGAATATATGGAAATTTATTGTATTCACTGAGGCCTTGGCATCACCTTCACACTAAGTTTGTGTAGGGAATGGGTTGAAATTCACACACATATATTTGAGAGCATAATAAGAATTCACTGTTTAAGGCCCATAACTCTAACATGGATTTGTACAGAATTATGGCACTTTTTGAACCTAGAAATTAAGTCAAATAGACCACAACTAATTTACAGAGTATCAGTTAAACTAGGTTCACCACAACCAATTATAAATTGCAGAGCAACAGTTAAATCTGGTCTACCACAACCAATTATAAAAATTCAACAAGGTTTACCAGGGCAAGTATAATTTACCGAGTAACAGTTAAAAAGAGAAAAACAAATTTTAAAAGACTTCTAAAAATGGCAAAATTGAAAATGTTGCAGACTCAGTTGGATTGAGCTTGTTCATGGAAAGTACTGGTAATTGCAAGCTTAACTGTCCACCCCGCCTAGCACCGGCTATAGCAGAATTCAACATTTAATTATGAACATGATTTATTTCTAAATTGAAAAACATCAACAGATGTGTTTATATGATGTTATCATGGTCAATGTGACACGTAAGTGCCATTTCATGAAAGGTGACGTACAGTTTCCAAGTGATATTAAGACTATGTTTGCCCTGGTTAAGAAAACAATGAGCGGAACTGCATAAAATTTTAAAGGGGATCAGAAGCTATAAAGCCTGCATATAAAAGACGAGCAACATATCCTTAGGTTGATTATACAGTATTCAGGTAGAAATACCCAGGAATCACCCAACTGCAACAACATCAAACCAGGTTTATAATTGCAACTAAATATCTTTTTCAAGTATACTTTTTTTCTGTGGAACCTAACAGGAATGATACTTAGAACATATGGTTATTGCATTCCATTTTAATTGCAAGTTTGCAAAACTATATGCCAGGGGGTAACAGCTAGAAGTGAATGCCTTAACAAGGAAGGGGGACAACCCAAATGGACATAAGTAACAAAAGATTTTTGTATGGTCAAAGGGGGACAACAAAAGAGACCTAAACAGTGCCCTTTACCCTGTTCTGGGGGCTGATATTTTGAATATTAAGAAAATGGGCAGTTCTAAATTAAATGGGTGACAGGTCCATTTCATAAATTTAGTAAATATTGCAATATACAAGATTATCTTTATCCCAGCCATTAGTTTTAATGCGCACCTGTGCATTTTTTACACATGTAACTACAATAAATTGTTATCTCTCTTTTGGAAAGAAATATGTATCAAGTTTCATTAATAGATAGATGTATGTGGCTTTTAATTATACAATAAATCCTGCATGTAACCATTTAATTGTTTTCTTTATCATAAGAGATATAATTTGCATAATTGGTTCCCCTTTATAAAAGTTTATGGAACCAATCAGGCTGTGACAAGACTTTCATGAACTTATAATTGGCAGACATCTTGAAATTTTAAGAAGTGTGAAGCTTATTTTTTTCAACAATTTATTCACTTAGGTGAAATTGTAAAACTTGGAAAAACTTAAAAGTAAGGTGAGTTTTTTTATATATATTGATAAGAGCTACACATGTAACATGATCTTGAAAATACCTAGTAAGTTTAACCTATCAGGAAGAGGAATACCTCAATGATCAAGTCGTTTACATTACGACATTGATATTCATGCAGACATACAATGTCAATGTAGATCTATTATGTTTTGTTAAAGATATTTAAGTCTTAACTGACATTTGAAACTGTCATACAGCAACTCGTCTGAATGAAGGAGACCTGCCTGCTACTAATGAACTTTGACCCCCTTTACTTTAGGAACCAAAAGTAACAAGTCTTTGCAAGTATGTAATAGAGATTTAGGTCAGTTTGCAGACTGAATACATATATATATGGCAAATTTATTCTTATATATGTTCAGTCACAGAAGCTTGATATTCTGTTGATAAATAAGAACTAAAGTCAATATGTATCCTCTATAATTATAGGGTTCATGTTTCATGAAATAAATGCATTTAAAGTCTACCACATCAAGACGACATGTTGCATCCAAGACACTTGTCCTCTAAGGTCAAGGTGGTCAGTTTTCTATGAATAGGACATCATTTCACAAGAACAATATCATAAATAAGCAATAATAATAATTTTTTTTTTTCATAATACCTTCCTGTAATACTTTCTGCAAATTTTTCGAGGGCGTTCGTCAATTTTGCATGACAGCTCTTGTTCATAATTATATTAACACCCCTACTTCCTACCCCATATCCCTAAAGACAACAATAAATAATTTAAAAGAAATTAGAATAATGTAAAAAACAAAACAAAATCTACTTAGCAGGAAGTGATTATAAAATACCATATATCAGTTGGGTTTTTTTTTTGCGAGTATCTAATTATCTCTTTATTCACTTGCAATGATTATTGCAAAAAATAAATAATTTTGCTAATTTTTTTTTCAATCTACTAAGGGGATTTAGCAAGATTCTGAAACTTTCTTTTCTGCATTTGGCTTTTCTACCCGGTTTAGTCTTATATATGTTACATGGTATACCAACAACTAACAATTTATCAAATATCAATTTTCTTTATTCATGGTTGTTCATAATTAAATAGTTTTTGTCGTTTTTTAGCTCACCTGTCACAAAGTCACATGGTGAGCTTTTGTGATCGCTTTTTCGTTAGGCATCCGCCCGTCCACCGTCCGTCCGTTCGTAAACTTCTACTTTAAACAACATCACCTCATAAACCTCTAAGCCAATTTCATTCAAATTCACAGGAATGTTCCTTTGGTAGTCAACTTTAAAAATTGTTCAAAGAATTTAATTCAAAGCAGAACTTTGGTTGCCAGTTGGCAACTGGAGGAAAAAACTTAAAATATCTTCTTTTAGAAAAGCGCAGAGATAGAGTTCAAATATTTGGCACGAAACATCATCTAATCAGTGTCTACCAAGTTTGTTCAAATAAATGTCCTGGGGTCAAAATTGGCCCCGCCCCGGGGGTCATTGATTTTCCTTATTTGTTATGATATAGTAAAAACTTAAAAATTCTTCTTTTAAAAAACCCAAATAGCTAGAACTTAGATGTTAAGCATGAAACATCTTCTTGTGAATGTCTACCAAGTTTGTTCAAATAAAAGCCCTGGGGTAAAAATTGGCCCTGCCCCAGGGGGTCATTGATTTTCCTTATTTGTATATAGTAAAAACTTAAAAAATCTTCTTTTAAAATACCCAAATAGCTAGAGCTTAGATATAAAGCATGAAACATCTTCTAGTGGGTGTCTACCAAGTTCATTCAAATAAAAGCCCTAGGGTAAAAATTGGCTCCGCCCCAGGGGTCATTGTTTTTCCTAAATGTAATTAGTAAAACATAAAAAATCTTCTTTTAAAAACCTCAAAGAGTTAGAGCAAAGGTATTTAGCAAGAAACATTTTCTAATGGGTGTCTACCAAGTTTGTTCAAATAAGGGCCCTTGGGTTAGAATTGGCCCCGACCCAGGGGTCATTAATTTTCCTTATATGTGTATCATAGTAAAATCTTAAAAATACTCTTATAAAAAACCCAAAGAGCTAGAGTTTAGAATGATACTAAGCATGAAATATCTTCTAGTGAGTGTCTACCAAGTTTGTTCAAATTAAAGCCCTGGGTTCAAAATTGGCCCTTCCCAGGCCAATTAAAAACTCTCTTTTAAAAACCCCAAAGAGCTAGAGCTTAGATGTTTATCATGAAACATCTTCCAATGGGTGTATACAAAGTTAATGTTCAAATAAAAGCCCCTGGTTTAAAATTGACTTTTGCCCAGGGGCCTATATACAGGTGAGCGATTTCTGGGCCATCATGGCCCTCTTGTTTTTAAATACTTTTTTAAAGTACATAAAAATCTTAAGTGACACAATGAACATATAGATATTTTAACAAGGTTTCCGATATATTAAGATAATTCACACTTAATGCAAACATAGGCACTTAACAATAATGTGTTAACAATAAGGCGAGATGAGGAACTGAATACATACTATATAGGAAGCGATGCATCTATAGAAAAATTGAAAATAAATTTTAACTGTGAAAACAATAAATCTTTGACAAGAAGAGTGTGATCTCTCTTTATCAGCAGAAAAATGTGAAAAAAAGAAACATGTACTACAAAATCACTAAAATTAGATCACTGCCAAAATGGCAAAATATGCAGTACGTGAAAATAACATGGTATACAGTACAACTTTCCAAGAAAATCAAACTTTTTTTATTAATCACTGCTTACTTTGTTGAAGGAGAAAAATTGTTAAACTTGAAAAATAAGGCAACATATTCTTGGAATTCAGAAAAAGGGGAGTACTTCCATAACATAAGTGATTGACTAATTAGGTTAGTTAGTAAGTAAGTAACGACCTTATTTAACGAGGCTTACACATTCGGTTTCCCGATCTTCCATGTGGGCCTCAGCACAACATTATTACAATCAGTTTACATGTAAAGTTCAGTTGTATTATATATTTATTGCAAAATCATTATAATTATGTGGGTTGATAATAATCCAGGTTTTCATGAATAGGTCAAACCATCATAACTTTAGATTGAATGTAATTTAACAATCTTCTGTATAATTATTCTGCGCTGCTTTATTTGCAATTTATTTTCTTTTACACAAATAGACAATCCATAAATTTAAGAAAACACATGAAAATGTTCTTTGTGTTAGATTTTAAACCAGGAAGTTTATTGCCCATGAAATTAACTGAATTCATGGAATCATCAGGTCAGCAAGTTCAGTAGTCTCAATATTTCGACTGCAAGACCGATCAATTTTATAATCTGATATTTTATAGATGTCTGTCTTTACGGGCAACCATCGTCTATATACTAAAAAGCCCTAAAGCGCACAATTTGGTGGGTAGCAAGTTCAGTAACTGTCTCTGGGGAAAAATCCAGATGATATAAAACATATATATATATACACATGTATATGGATAACTAAAGAAGGGGACAATACTGACCAGCTCAATTACAATTATATAGCTTTACTAGTGCAGTACTCATGCCCTTAGAAAATATAAAAGCTTATCATAAATGGTTACTTCTGCCCCTCCACAAGAATATTAAGAGTATATGAGGGAGATAATGAGAATGGATGGCCCAGAGTTAAAATCTTTGTGTAGTATTAGTGATACATGTATTAAGGTTGAAAGGTATATGAAGCCATTCAATAAATAAATAATAAATTAAGGCATTTCTTGCCAAATAAAAAGAATTGTGAGGATAACTGGTGTAACAATGCATATTCAGGATAGTAAAAATCTATTGGTTTACCAGAATTTTATATAATCATACCTAATGGCCACATAATATTTGAATTATCTATAAATGTTTTCATGTGTTTAAATGTTTTTATGTGTTTAGCAGGAAGCATTTGGTAAAATATACAATTTGAAAGCTTCTGTTACATCCAACTTGCTAAAAAACATTTCGATACTAATTTTTAAAGTACATGATAAGAGGTCCAATAGGCAGTGTTGGATGCCAAAAATTTAAGCGGTCTTATATAAGAAGACTTAAATGGTGCAAGATTTGACTCCATAGATTTTTTGTATAGGTTAACAAGGTGATACTTTCATGCAAAATATCTAAGCTCTAGGCATTGCAGTTTTATAAAAGACTGACTTAATGTAATGCTGGCTAACTGACCCTTAGGGCTGAGTCATTTTATCATGTAGGGGCATAATTTTTTTTAATGTAAATAACTTTTGTAGACAGGTCCACGATTCAGTCATAATAAAAGATATTGGACAGGAAAAAACTTTTGAAGAGGTCCACAATTTTAGTAAGCTAAAAATACAGTATTATAAAAAAATCTTCAGCCATAATAAAAGATATTGCTAGGAAAAAATACTTCTACTTTTGTTTGAAGGCAATCGATTTTATGGTAGTTTGTGTGTAGTATTGATTTGCCAAATAAACATAAGATTTAACATAAGTTGTTACGCTGGTTTATTGAACACACTGGTGAGTCAGACAAGGTTTTTAAAATACTGGAATCCCACTGATATTGGTAGTGCATATGAGGTGCATTGTATCTGATAAAATCCTATGTGTACTTTAACCTTTTACCCCATGAGCATATTGTGAAATATGGCCGTTTTCACTGTAAAGCCTCCTGTTACAAGTTCAAACTGCTATGAAACTATGAAAAATGCTTCATTACTGATGAAACTTGGCAACCCCCCGATGTACCATTTTGATGGGGGATTGCGCCAAAAAAGAGTTCACTTTTTTTAGCAACATTTCTCAAATGGGGCCTAAATAGGGCATTTTTTTCACTGTTTGAGGCCTCAAAAAAGGGGAGGGGTAAAAACATGCTTATATAAGGGAAAAGGTTAAGGAAAGTAAGTACTGGTTCATCTTTCATTTTCTGTCTAATTAAACATTTGATCTCTCAAAAACTTTATTTAGTGGCATTCAATTGTATTGTTGGAGCTTGTGAAGTTATATTAAAATAATTTTTCCAGATTTGGTTTGTAGCATTTATTTACTATTGAATAAAAACG